TATATATGTATATGACATTATATATTATTCCTACGCTTCCCTACAAGGTAAGTAAGACCCAGAGAACCATCAACCCGTTTGAGAAGACATTAAAGAAACTCACAATAGAAGATATAACTTTATCTCGGTGAAGAATTTTCGAGTCTAAACAAAAACACTTACAGAAATTTAGTACACTAAGAAATTTATCGACACAATGTGTTCTCACCTCAAACAACATGGAGTCAACATCATACATGTGTTTCTTGACTTTCTCTGTCTACCTATGAATTTTTGTTTACTGTGTTTATTATACTGTCAAGACTTCAAATATATAAAATGTGTTCTAAAAACGTAATTGCCTGGTTATCTAGCCTTATTTCTACATTTAAGTGAATTTACCACCAAATCCTTTTATCATGGCTTGCCTTCCATTCCTGAGTTCTTTACTTTATTTCTTATGTGTCTAGAGCTGATCATCAAGCAGTTTTATTAAAATTAATTTTTATTGGGGGCACCTGGGTGGCTCGGTCAGTTAAGCGTCCGACTTTGGCTCAGGTCATGATCTCACAGTTCATGGGTTCGAGCCCCATGTTGGGCTCTGTGCCGACAGCTCAGAGCCTGGAGCCGGACTCAGATTCTGTGTCTCCCTCGCTCTCTGCCCCTCCCCCACTCACACTCTGTCTCTCTCCCCAAAATAAACAGCAAAAAAAAATTTCTTAATTAATTTTTATTGTCTGTGTAATACAAAAATACATCCTCCTTTAGAAAACACAACTTCATATTAAAGGCAATATTTTTAATACTTTAATTATCATCCATATATGTTTAAAAATAATATGCATAGATGAATTTATTTATATATGTGATTTATGTAAATGGTATTAAGTTTCATCCTGTAACTTGTATAAGTAACATTTCATGACTTCTTACTCAGCAATCTAGCTTAAAAATCTAACCATGTTAAATTATAGAACTAAGTAATCCCTTTTAGTCCCATTCCTAAAAGGTAATTCCCTTTGATGTAATTTTAGTAAAATTCCATACTATCGATGTATCACAGTTCTGATGGGTATTTTAGCTATTCCTCATTTTCTTAACTATTTGCCAGATGAATAAATATAAATAAATAAATACCTCCTTATGTATAGATGCAAGGTTTTTTTTAAATTTTTTTAATGTTTATTTATTTTTGAGAAAGAGAGAGAGAGACAGAGCATGAGCTGGGAAGGGGCAGACAGAGAGAGGGAGACACAGAATCAGAGGCAGGGTCCAGGCTCTGAGCTGTCAGCACAGAGCCTGATGCGGGCTTGAACTCATGAACTATGAGATCGTGGCCTCAGCCAAAGTCGGACACTTAACGGACTGAGCCACCCAGGTGCCCTGCAAGTATTTTTTAAGTGTTTATTTATTTTGAAAGAGACATAGAGAGCGAGCGGGTTAGGGACAGAGAGAGAGAGAGGGAGACAGAGAATTCCAGGCAGGCTCTGAGTCAGACGCTTCACCAACTGAGCCACCCAGGCGCCCCCAGATGCAACTATATTTATTTGTAAAATGTGAAATTCCTAAGTAAGAGGTGATATGTATATTCTTCAGTTTTAATAGAACTTTAAAAACCCTTTTGCTAATACCTAAATGTTAATATTCTCACCAAGTTTATATTTCCCTCCATGATCACCAGCATCTTTTACCGTGAAAGTTTTCAATTTTGGTGAAAATTTTAGATGAAAAAATATAATGTTTTATTTGACGTTTATTTATTTTTGAGACATAGAGAGACAGAG